GCCAAAAAAAGCCACTTTCATGTGTCTCCGTGAAAGCACCTCTCCAATGACTGCCAACTTGTTTTTATATGCTTGTATTTTTGCTAGTTCATCTTCTGTTGCTATATGATCAAGCTCTGGGTTCTTGTATGTGGCTACACACAGAAAGGAAAAACATAAAAGCAATCACACACAGAGAACATGTTCTGTGATACAAGGTGTAAGCAATCAGTACTTAGCATGCCAACTGCAATTTTAATTACAGTGGTTAAACAAGAAAAACCTCACTATAGCCACTGATACCAGCCCTTATCATTTGACAGCTCTGCCACAAGCACTGGTGAAATCACAACATAAATCACTTCAGATCAATCACCAACCCAACCCCTGATCCACTAACCCAGTGAACACAGCCTGATGGGCTCACATGCCCAGTTCCTTGGGACACCTGCTTCCTTCAGAAAGGAAAGCCAGGATCTCCCATGGATGCACCAGCTAAGCTGGGCTGCCTTGCCCCCGCAGAGCTCACCGGGATGGTGAGCAACCAGCTCTGTGTGGCCACGCTGCTAAAACCTCTGAGGGTGTGACCAGTGGCTCCCTGCATTGCATCACTGCACCTTTCTGCTGAAAAATGGGAGAACCTGTTTGTCCCTCCTTCTGTGCAAAACAAACCGCCACAGAACTACAAGGCCAGAGTGGTTAAGCTTTCACCTCATGGAAAAGAGACCAGACTGCCAATCCAAGTAAATTAATCAGCTTTTCAGGTATGTAGGAATGCCAGGCATTCCTTCCAGCACAAGCTGAAAAAAAAACCCAGTGTCAAATGAAAAATGGGACTATTTCTGAAGGTGCAGGTTTATACAAAGAGCACAGTAACAGATAACATAAGGTACATTATGCTGCAGTAAAACATACTCAGAACAAAGCACAAGGCCCTCGTGTTTAAGGAGAAAGCTCACCTTCCACAAACGCTGCTCCCTCAGTGACATACTCCAGCAGCTGGTCGAAGATGGCAGTGATGGTCTTTTTGGCCAGCACAAAGTGCTTCAGTGGAGAGACAGAGGCTTCTGCCATGCTGCAGCTGCAAGGAAAGGTGCATCAAGGGACCAAACACTCAGTACACCCAGCTAATTAAAACTTATACACTGCTCACACAGCCATTAAGAAACAAAACAAACAAAAAATCAAAGCTCTAAACTCCAAAGGGCAGTAAGCTCAGTTTGAGCTGTTTACTCTCCTCTCCTCACCACAAGCGCCAAGAGCAGCTGGCGAAACTCGGGGACAGGTTCGAACTGATCGGCTGCTATCTGTCCCGGAAACACGAGGCTTTCCCCTCGCCTCACACAGCTCCCGCCTCCCCACGCCCGTGGGTCAGCGCTGTCCCGCCGGCCAGCGAGGAGGGGCCCCGCTCCTTCCCGGAGCCCCGGCTCCCTCAGGCCGAGGGGCAGCGGCGGCCCCAGTCCCTCATGGTGCTCCCTCTCGGAACCTCGGCTCAGCCCCGGTGCCGCACAGAGCTCTGGCTCGGCCCCGGTTCCGCAAAGAGTTGTGGCTCGGTCCCGCTCCCGCCCAGAGCTCTGGCTCGGCCCCGGTCCCGCATGGAGCCCGGGCTCGGCCCCGGTCCCTCACGAAACCCCCGCTCGTCCCGGTCTCTCACGGAGCCCTGGCATAGCCCCAGTCCCTCCCTGAGCCCCCGCTCCCCCTTAGCCTCTCACGGACCTCCCGGTCCCGGCCTCTGTCCCTCACGGAGCCCCGCTGGCCCCGGCCGTGCCCGTCTCCTCCGCCGCCGGGACGGGGGGGCGTCACTTCCCTTTCCTCCTCCTATGACCCCCGCGCCGGCACCGCCATGTTCAGTGCGGGCTGAGGGCGGCCGCCGCCATCTTGAGCGCGGGCAGTTCGCGAAATGGAGCCGGGCAGAGGCCGGGGGCAGAGGCCGCCATCAGCCCCCAGGGCTCACCCTCAGCTCCGCGGTCTGGACAAAGTCCCAAGGGACAGGGCCGCGGGCCTTCAGGAGTTAAAGAGACCGGTACCTCATGCATTTGGTACGGGAGCAATCGGAAACGAGAACCAAAATGAAAATCGGCGACAACAGCATTCTAGAGGACACGATATTTGAGGATTACTAATCCGCTGTATTTCAAGATTTTGCAATAATTTGTGGGATGTAAACTTTGAAGTCAACAGTCTTTCACATGAAAAAGGTCTTTTGCTCAATAAGAAATATGATCTAGGAATCTGACACACAGAGATTTGTTATGGTTGGAAAATACCCCTAAAATCGAGTCACACATTGAAACGAAGGGTTCAAAAGTCTGAAAAGCAAAGAATCAAATACATGTCTCTCACAAATACAAAACACTACCAAAACCAATCTCATGATTTTGCATAGCTTCTGCTTGCAATGCTGTTCCTGAAACAGCTGAACCTTGCAGGTACCAGTGAACAACCAGAATTTGATACTTACTGCCTTGGAGAAAAATAATAAATACTGGCACAGTCCTGGTCCCTAGAGCTTATTTCTGCCTCTCCGGACTGAGACGAGCTGCTCAGGCTCCAGGCTGACAGATCTGTGGCCGTACCAGAGCAGCTGCGCTCAGCTCAGGGCACTCACCTCCACTTCACCCAAATGACCCAAATGTCGTCCCTGTCCTTGGCATGCTCAGCCATGCCCTTCAGCCCTCCAGATTCCAGGCACACTCATTACCTATTTTTCCTACTACTTAGTAACTTTCTTGCTTTAACATGCAGATCATGTGGAAGCCAGCAGTGTACTTGTGTTCACTTTTAAAATGAGACATGCTACTCCTGTACACTTCCCTTTACTCCCTGACAGAGATTAAAAAGAAAATATTAACATTAGTCCCTCATTTATAAAATCCAACCTAAAATAACCTTGGATACATTTCCTGTTTAGACGCTGCATTTTAGTTTGGAATGATTTGGCTTCACAGCATTCCTGTGGGGGATTGTTTTGATTCCCATTTTAGAGATCAGAAATAACTCAAAGACAGACATGAAGTTATTCATGTCAACAAGCAAGTTCGCTGTGTCACAGGGCTCTGTGCTGGCACAGGACACCACCTTTCCTGCTGGGGACACAATGCTGGTCTACACAAATATACACACTTCTTAAGCCCCCTTATTTAAATATTTTGGGGGATTTTAAAATGCCTTTTTTCCACTTTTTATCCCCCAGAGCAGCTTTCTCTCCAGAGCTCAGCTGTGCCATTCCACCTCTGTGCCATTAGCAGAAGCAGAGTTTTCAGAGAACCAGCATTCCCCCTTTCAGATATATGAGCAAAATTAACTTTTCATATAGAAAATAATTCATCTTAGTGTTTTGTTAACTGTATTATTGCTATAATTTTAAGCCAGCCAGGGAAGAATGTGTTCAAAATAGGAAACCAGCAATTCTACCACAGATACTGTCATTCTCTACACAAGGGAGTAATAAAATACAGCAAGACACCTTCAGGTTGCCCTTTCAATGACAAAACACAAGATCTAGTAGTATATCAGCATTTCAAAGTGACAGAAATGGTCTTTCCTCTCACAACAAAATAAACACTAAGTGGTTCATAGACTTTCCAGAAATACTTCTCTGGAAATCAGAACTTCCATTAATCGATAACATTCAGCCAAATTTTATCCTTGGCTTCAAAAATCAAATCCAAAGACTCTTGCACGCCTTGAAGCTGGTAACACCAAACCTCACTGATCAAGAAATGTTTGATACATTAATTATCTCTATACAAAGCTTGCATTAGCCTTGAAGCTGGTAACACCAAACCTCACTGATCAAGAAATGTTTGATACATTATCTCTATACAAAGCTTGCATTGGACAATCTTACATTACAAATTTACAATCAATGAAGAAAGAAATGTAAACTCCACCAGTAATTATTACGGATATTTTCACCATGGTATCTACCATGATCTAAGTGACCCCACTCTTGTTTTTTTTATCTGTCCAAGTATCCACTCAGATATAGAGCTACAGAATAAACTGCAAAAACTCACTTCCAATAATTGCAATGGCAGGACAGTGCTTTGTATAATATAAACAAATGTGTGAAATAATTTGAGAGTGATTAGCAAAAATTTTGTAATGTACCAGTCTTTTAAGCCCCCTATATAAAAGTTAAAAATTTACAGAGTTAAAATAACATTCCTCAAGTTACTAGTGGTGAAAAGATAATTATACAGGATTACTACAATAATATAGACTACTAGAAGTTTTCTCTAGTCAGAGCTTGGTGACATCCATAATTTCAGTGACAGCTGCATTAGGATTTTATATAATAAATTCATTTTGTACATTCTCAGCAGGATCATTGCAAATTCCTTTTGCAATTACTCTTTAGAACACAATCCAATCCAAACCCAAGCAATGTGTTTCTCCTCAGTGCATTAAAAGGCAAGAACTGAAGGTAAATAAAGGGACTATCATGTGGAAGTTGTGTAGTACATATGCGGAAGAGTGTGTTGTGCTTGTGTTGGACAGTCCCACAGAGCAAAGTGAAGTTAGGTCAGAAAGGTATCCCAGGAGAAAAACAGGACAATTGCAAAGCTTATCAGGAGCATGAGGTGGGAAATGAAGGCTGGTATGTGAATCTGGAGATGTCCATGCCTGGGAACTTTTGGAGCACCCTTATCTTTGGCAGGCCAGTGCTACTGCTAAACACCAGTGCAGTGACCTGCTGCCACCCAGGGTAACATGAGCTGGATGTGGAACTGAGACCAGTACTGGGTTATTTAAGCGTGGAATTAGATATTTGCTTTGTTTTTGTGCTTTTTTAAATTTACGAGAGGTGGTCTTGTACACTAGACATGAAGAGCAGGATGACCACCAGAACTGGTATCACAACATGCAATTACTCCCACTGTCCCACCCCCCAAAATCTGATCTATCACAGTGTAAATGTGATTATTCCTACTGAAACCCCTAGACAAGGAAATTCACAACACCAAGTGCTCTACATGCTTTGCTGATATAAAGATGAAAACATTAGAAATGTACAATTGCTGTTAAAATTGTATTTAATATCACATTCCAGTGACTGGAAATGAATTCAAATTCTAACAAACTGATTACAGAAAAAGAAAGCAATCACACCGTCTCATGTATCTGAAGATGACTTAAAAGATCTTTTTCATTCCCAAACCTCATTAAACAATCAGTACATTTATGAGGCAAATCTGCTGAATGCCTGAAATCCAAATGAGTTTTAAGGTCTTCAATTTGTCCTGTTGAATATTCACAGTATTGACACAAATAAATCCCTTCAGATAAATGAGAGCTTAGGTGCTTGCAATATTCCAACATACCTGAAAACCCCTTCCCACAGTCATCACAAACATGAGGGAATATTTTGGTGTGCTCAATAGCTACGTGCCTGTTGACATTTGTATGCAGCCTGCTCCTAAAGCCGCACACCTGGCACACAAAGAAGTTTTTGCATTTGTCAAAACTGATTTTGTTGATGAGGCTGTACTGGCCACGCTCCTTGTTGTTGTAGCTGTCGCTCAGCTCGATGAGCCGGCACGCGTGCTCGTTCACCACGTGGCTGTGCAGATCCTCGGGGTCGTTTGTCTCGTGCTCACAGAACTGACACAGGTACTGCTCGTCACAGCTGTGCTCCTGGAAGTGCAGGTACAGCTCGCTGCTGGAGGAGAACTGCACATCACACTGCTCACACCAGTAGAGGTGGTCGTTGAAGTGAGTGTCTGCTATGTGCTGACTCAGATTCTCAAAAATCACCGTTTTGTAATCGCAGTATTTACAGATGTATGGATCCTCCTCGTGTAGTTTTACATGTTCAATGAGCTGCACTTTGCTGGAGAAACTTTCTTTACAAACTTTACAGACGTGAGTGTCTGTACATGTCTTATGCTTCAGGATCATGTGCTGCTTCAGATCAGAGAAGTACTTGCTGTTGAACTCACAGAGCTCACACTTGTACAAGCCGCTGCTGTTGGCTCTCAGCAAGGGCCATTTCTGTTGAGCTGTGATATTCAAAGCGTGGTTCTTCTCAAAGATTTTACAGGTCTCCAGAGGGATTTCCTCAAGGTCCTCAGCTTCCAGCTTCTCAGGTGACACAGTCTGTGTTTCTATATCGTGAACTTCTACAGCATTCACTTCTGTTGTAGAAATTTCTACAGTTTGGATATCTAGAGGTTTCTCTTCTTCTGTGGGGCTGTCACTGAATATAGGTGAGTCACATAAGTCTCTGCACATTCCATTGTTAGTACCTCTATCTGCAGGAAGAAATACAGAACAAAAGGTTGAAAAAAACCCAATACAAAACACCTGGGCCCATTTTTAACTTTTCAGTCAGCTGCAGCAGCTTTCAAATGAAAAGACCTGTTATTTCTCCCCTGCCGGACAATGCTGTATTTTCAGCTAACAAAGCAATAACAGAAAATGTAAATCCTTCACCATTTCTGTCAAAGCAAGGAAGCTACACAAAAAGCCAGCAGCACTTGGGCTTTCCAACCTCCCAGCACCTCATCTGCAAACACACTGACCTTTACCTTTATCCTTCTTTTTAGGGTCTGTGCAGTGCATCCCAACGTTTGAGTGTGCCCCGCTCCAGTGAGAGCTCCCGGCATGCACCGGACTCCCGTCATCATCCGTGTCCAGGCTCTGCACAGGACTGTGGAATCTGCCTGCAAACGGAAGGGAAGCACTTCCTTGTCATCATTTCTTCACACTAGCATCATCCTGATTCCTGAATTTAGTCACAGATCTTACTATTTATTTATTCTACTTGCATAAATCTATCTTTATATACTAAGCACATCATAACCTACATTTTAAAAAAGTAACAACAAAATACCTTGAAAATTATTTCCATACATGCAGAGAAAAACAAAAGAATTAAAAAGTAACAATCTGCCTAGAAGATTTCAGCAGAAAATACTGAATTTACTACTGAAAATACTCAGCTGGTTGTACAGAAAAAAAATTAAAATCCTTATATGAAACATTACATTTAAAAGACACAACTTGAAAATATTCTCCAATATTTCTGGACATTGCACTTTAAAATATGATACTTTTTAAAACTTCTGCAGACTTTATGGTTTAATAATTAAAGTGAAAAGAAAAATAAATGGACTAAAAATCCACCATCACATTTACTCTGCTAACTTTCCACCCACTATTGGGTGTTTTATAAAAAGGCATTTTGTTTTGCCAGGTACAAGTACAATTCAATGCAACTGTTGGAAATTTTCACCTGAACTCATCAACTTTGTTTCCTAGGTAATGAGTACTGGAATTAGTTTAATCACCATTATAAAGACCATGAAGGGTCTTTTTGTTGTCATTGTTTCTACTTTGAAAACTGTATTTCAGCTGTAACAATTGAACAATCTCCCACCAGTCTAAGGCCCACCAGGTCACAAGGACACTCAGAAATCACCTACTGTGTATTCTATTTGCTTCTATGAAAAGGAAGATGATACATTAAAGAAGTGCAGAACAAGACCCCAAAACATAGTCTTACCTCTGTTTATATCTGGCTGTCTCATGGAACAGACACTATAGCAGTGGTCAGAAAAAATTCCACTGTTGTCTATGTATCTGCTTGCACCTGAAGAATCTAAACCAGAACATCAACAAAAAAAGTTTAAGTACTCATGTCTTGTTGTAGCTACAGATGTATTTCATGTTCATCAAAATTCTTTTAATATTTTTACTTGTTTTGGAAGAATTCCTGTTGTGATTTACACCTCCCAGCTGCTGCCCTGATGTCAGGAGTATCAGGTCTCTGCTCCCACTGAGGACATTGACAAGTGTGTGGTCTGTTCAGTGCTGAACATTCCTCTCTACCCACCCCACCCCAACTTTTACAGAATTCCTGGCCTCTGTGGAAGCAGAATCACCTTCATTTGCAGCTAAAGCCAGTTCCCCCATGTGCAGAAGTACAGAACAAGCCACTCAGATGCATTGGCTCAACAAAGGAGCCTGCAGAGTGGGTGCTGCCCAAGATTTCTCATCCCACCCTTTGTGTCACTGTTTTTCCATGTATTGGCACAAGTGGTCACTTCTTGTAAAGTTATTGTTCTGAGAAAAAAAAATGAACTTACTAAAGTTAATCATGAAGCTTAACTTTACTTGTACATAACTCAAGCTCCAGACTGACCTGAGTAACGAGAAGGATGCAGAGTCTTCCTTTTTCTCTTTTTAGGATGTTCATTCATTTTGAACAGTCTACATGAACTGTAAAGTAAAAGCATTAAAGAGTTAGACTTGTTTGTATCTAGTTTATCTTTCAGAACCTTATGGAAGAACACAAGCATTTTGAAAGCCTGTGTATCAAATACAAAAGTTTTGTCTTACTCCCCCTTCTTGCCCCAAAGCCCATTTTGATACAGTCAAGAACCCACTAAATGCACACAGCTGCTGAAGTCCAGTTTCACATTCCTGCCCTGGAGCAGAAAGTTCACCTAAAAGACAGACAAGTCAGAACTCCAGGTACTCCAGCAGTCAGGGTCATCTACAAGCCTTCTCTCCAGCACCCTTTTTGTCACAGACAGGACATTCTGAGGCAGAGCCCTTCAGAAACAAGTTTTAGAGTTTAAAATACTAACACAATCATGCTCTCTTACCAAAAATCCTAGACTCTTCAGTATCAGGAAGCAGAGCAGCTAACAAGCTGATGACTGTACAGCTTCCAAACGTAGCGAATGCATCAGCTCAAGAAGATTTTCACCTACGGAGTGACAGCATTTTAAACCACTTATAACTTTAGCACAAAATAGAAAAAACACAGAATCAGATACAAGTGATACAAATACTACAAAGAATGACTCTATGAAGATAGAAATCATCATAAGAAGTTGATACTAATTTCGGTTTGGAGCATCACAATTAGTAAGGTGGATGCACTGGTGTATTTCTTTTTCTTTTGTCTCAGGCTAGTTGGCTTTTGCTGCACTTGGCAGCTCCTGAGAGCAGAAAAATATTTGGAAACGAAATACAAACATTTGACCTATATACGGGACAGTCTTGAAGAAGAAAAGGCTGCAAACAAGGAATGTGATGCGGGTTGCCATGACTGAAGTGCATTGGAGGCCCAGGCCCTTCTGTAGTCAGTGCCATGCGCGGAGGTGAAAGGAGGGAAAAAAGGGCCCTCATTAAGTCAACCATGTTCTCCTGAGATTAAATATTTTCTGAACTATAATTTCATTTCAAGAGATGGAAAAATAATTTATTTTAACGTTATATCATGATGTAGAAGTATCAGTACCCTCACCCGCGGGGTGATTTTCTATGATTGCGAGGGAAGAACCGACAGCGCACTGACACCGCAAGTCTCACCCCAGGTAACGCGCGTGAAAAGCTCAACCTTTTCTACACGGGTCGGACCGCGGGGCAGCAAGGCGGGTGGTTCTATTCCAGCGGCTTTCCTGGCCCTGAAAAGCAGGATCCAGGCCCCGAGCACCGGGATCCCGATCGGCCCCGGGGCGGCGCGGCCTGCGCGGAGGCCGCACGAGGAATCCCTGGCGGGAGCGCGGCAAAGGCACCGCTCCGCCCCGGCGGCAGCCGCGGGCAGGGGCGAGACCGCGACCCCGCAGGGGCGGCGGGAGAGGGCCCGGCCCGGGGCCGCACCGGGAGAGCCGCGGGTCGGTCCGTGAGTCACCGCTCACCTCCCCGGCGGGGCCGGGGCACGGGCGGCTCCCGCCCCGCGCCCGGCCGCTCCGCGGGGAAGGGGCGGGAAAGGGGCGAGCGGCCGCCGCCCGCAGCGCCCCCTGCCGGCCACGGGCGCCCCCGCACCCGCCCGTCGCCATAGCGACTGCGAGGGGCCTAAATAAACCTTTAGTGGATATTTGTACCCACAGAGTCTGCAGGGCCGCGTTTCCATCCACAGGCCTCCTCCGGGGCTGGCACCGTGTAAGCCTGCTTCAGAACAGTGTCTGCACCCCGATTTTACACAAATGAGAGGGTGATGTCAAAGCCAGAGCCTCCTAAAGCTCGGCTTTATTTTTTGTGTCAATGTAAAAGCTGTCCCTCAGAGCTACTGTATAGGAGAATCAATATAAAGTGTATCATAAATATATACAGTAGAAGAAAGAAATGTATACATACAAGAAGGACAGGGAGATTGGAGAGGGTCCAGCGGAGGCACAAAGTGAGGAGGGGTCTGGAGCATCTCTGTGAGGAGAGACTCGGGAGCTGGGCCTGGTTAGTCTGAGAAGAGACCTGGCAGGAGATCTCATCAATGCACAGAAATATTTCAAAGGCAGGGGCCAGAAGATGGTGCCAGACTCTTTTTGGCGGTTCCAAGCAACAAGATGAGGAGCAATGGCCATAAACTGAAACACAAGGAGTTTGACCTCAACACGAGGAAAAACTTCTTCACACTGAGGATGGCAGAGCCCTGGAACAGCTGCCCAGGGAGGTTGTGGATTCTCCCTCTCTGGAGACATTCCAAACCCACCTGGCTGTGTTCCTGTGTTACCTGCTCCAGGTGACCATGCCTTGGACTGGATGATCTCCAGAGGTGCCTTCAAAAACTAACAATTCCATGATTCTGTGAAATATGTATAAATAAGGGCTTGAAAATTAAAATAAGCAACTCTCCCTTTTCCAAATTTATAATCTTTTTCCTGATTTCTTCTTCATGCTACAGGAAAAAGCACCAAATTGTATTGGTTCACAAAGCAGAGCACTTCAAACAGCATCTTACTGTTTTAAAAAATACCTCATTAATTTTGAAGACATCAGGGAGGCCACTACAGTCCCTTATTTCCACAACTTAAAATAACTTACGGAATTTTGCTAAGTGTTGCATTCATTGAATTGTTTTGCTCTGGCTTAGCCTGAATTTACCTAGTTCTAAAAAAAAAGTTTTGAATTAGTAGACAAGCCACAATAACCCTAATGGTGTTGCTCCACTGATTAGTAAAAAATGAAACTATACCCTGTTTCTGGCCTTAGTTTTATTCATTATCTGCAGATGAAACAGGACTTACCCTGTCTATAAAATCCTACCTTTAGCCTTTGTCCTGAGGCTGGAAGCATACCTTTAGGGTAACGTGACTTGCTTAGAGCCAAGTGGAAAGAGCTTCATGCTATGATCACACAGGAGTTTTGGGTGAGCACCAAAACAGAACTAAAGGTTCTGCTGGCACAGTGCCGAGCCCTCAGACACGAAATAAATACAATCTCCTGCACCGAGTTACCAATCAAACAAGATCCTGATCTCCCCGTTCAGTTTGTTCTCTGCCTTTTATTCCAGCCGTGGTTGCTGAGGTTTCCCCAGGACAGCTCGTGTTAAAGGTCTCACAGATCGGCTACAGCCACCCAAAGGGGCGGATGCCCACACAGCTCTCCCTCTATTCACCAAAATGTTTTCCAGCGTTCCAGGAAAGCGCTTTCCCCAGTTCCCAGCGGAGGGCAGTGATGAGAACCTAAAATCCGCACACAGCCAAGGGAGAGGGAAAAAAAAAAGCCAAACCTAAACCCAAGCCTTTGCTTTGAATTCGGTCCTGCTTTGTGAGGCAAACGCAGGCGGACCAAAGCATCTTCTGTACCTTTTGAGTGATTTATTCTCCACCCAAAGCGGCACAGCCCAACGCCACTTATGTCAGATAAAAAGACAAGGCTTTAAGTGAAAGAAGAACATCTGAGGAGGATCCCCTTTGAAGCTGCAGATCCAGTTCAAAATCACACGCATCAAACAGAGCTATCAATGCTTTAGACAGAAAAGCCTAAATGAGTCTTGTTTTTTAAACCACCACGTGCTTGGGATGCTGAGAGAGCTCCGGGTGAGGTTTTAATCAGTCAGAACTGAAAATACAGAAAAGCCTGTGTGACACTGACACACAAAAATTCTTGTTTAAACGGGCAACATAGATGATGCTCATTTCAATTAGTGGGGATGTATCCTGACCAAAATAAGCATGGGGTAAGCCCTTTCTTCAATGAAAGCAGTTAGCATAGCTGATGAGGATAACCTTCCCTGGAGGTAGGTTTGTCAGTGTTTAAAAGGACATGTAGGAGGTTACTTGAGGTATCTTGTCTAGCATCAGGTTCCTTGCTCTTTTGTTACATGGGTTCAGACTTTAGATTGAGTTTTTCCAAGGCAGGTTAGCAAACAGAGTGATTTCTGAGCATAAAATCACGAGGGCTTACTGAGATTCCCACGCTAAAGCAAACTGCTCACACTGCAAATCTTTCTTGTTTCTCCAGCATTATTTTGCAAATTTTCTGTGATTTTTTCATGTTTAGACTTAAAACTACCACAAAAATCACACCGTGGCACTAAATGGCAGTAAAGTCTAAAATTTGTATTTGAACAAGAGCTGATGATCCTCTTCTTATCCTGAACCATCCTGTGCAACTAACACACAGTTGTAGCCACTCACAACCATTTCATAGTTATTAGGCAAAGGTAAAACTCACCTTATGTATAATAAACACAAGTTTAACCTGTTAGTTCAGGTTATTGAAGTAGCTAGTTCCAAAGCCCCAGCCATACTTTTCAGACCAGAGCTCTTCTGAAGCTTCAAAATAAATGTAAGGATGATGATGTCCATCTTTTATTACGGGGTTGGTCCAGCCCAGACTGAGCACCTGCTGGAACACAGCCCTTCTCAATGCTGGGCAGTGTGACCTGAAACAGAACTGACCAGTGTACAAAGTTTAAAGCTGATTTGGGACAAAAAAGTTTTGAAGGGGCCTGATTAAAAACCCTGACATTTGCCTCATCCCTCCAGAAAAAGGTGAAATCCTCACAAGAGGACTCAAATCCTTCCCAGTTTGTTAGCAACTGGAGTCCAAAGTAGGCCAGCATGGCCACAGAAGGAGTTCCTTTGCAGCCTCATGCTATTATACTGCCAGTGAGTAATTTCCCCAAATACGTTTGTCACTCTTTCAAAATTAGCATTGGATACAAAAATATAACCTTGTTTGTTTTTTTAAATTATAATTTTGGTAATGAAAGCATGAAGCATATTTTTCAAAACCAGATTGATTTAGCAGGGACTGTAAACCATCAAGCTGAAACACTTCAATAACATCATCTTTCTTGTCACAGCTTTTTACAGCCCACATATAAAACTAAAATAAAATTACTTATTTTGAGGATCAGCGTTTACAAGAACAAATGCCACACGCATATTGGACTTTTCACCCCTAAATAATGCAAATTCTATTTCTGTTCCCCCCAAATTAACTGCGCTATGCAATTTCCATTTCCTTTCTTCTAGCCTTTTTCAAAGGCAGAGCTGCAACACCAAATCACACACCAAGACTGAATATTCCTTAAATTCTCGCTTCAGAATTCACAGGTGTACCAACCATATCATTTTAATTTAGTTGTTAGTATATACATTAACACTCAAAAGTGTGATAAAAACCAAACAAAAGTAGGGGTTTTTTTTAATAAACAGCATGATACAGACCGCGAAGATAAATAAAAAGCAGACTTTTTACAGTTTCCCATGAACATGAACTACAATAAGTATCATAGGCCAAACTTTTGTTACTTGAGTAGCACAGCAGAAGGATTAAAAAAGGGGTTGTGTTTTTTTATTTAAAGTACTGCAAGACTATTCTCAGTATGACAACACATGCATCTTGCTGCATCTTAAATACTTTTTGGCCCATTATTACTAAAAATGTCTTGCTTTCTACCTACTTTACCACAGACCTTTATCACAGAATGACACACACATGGTAACATCCCCCCCTGCCCCAGTAGTGGTTATTTCAAAGGTAATTGTCTCATTTTTAAAAGATAATTGAAGCACTGGTGGGGGTTTTTACTTTCCCTTTGATGCAGACAGGTAGCTGCTCCCAGCTTCAATGAAGTCACACAGGAGCATGGAGAGCTGACACCCTCCTGGGCTCTGTTTTCACCCAAAATGCTGACAGGATCCTGAGCTGGCTCAGGGGGAGCAGGGCAAGGGAGGTGAGCCTTCCCCCTGCCCCTTGCTCAGCACTGGTGAGGCCACACCTGCAGCACTGGGGCTCCCAGTACAAACCTGACCTGCAATGGGTCCATGAAGGGCTGTAAAGGGGATGCACAGGAGAGGAGGCTGAGAGGGCTGGGATTGGTATCCTCAAGGAGAAAGCCATGGGGCATCTGGTCAATGTGCATAAATACTTGATAGGGAGGAAGAAAGACAGGCAAGGCTTTTCTCCGTGCCCACTGAAAGGACAACAGGCAATGAAGTAGAAGATATTTCATATAAACATTATGAAAAAAAAAAAATTGACTGTGGGTTCTTCTTTCTTAGACAGACTCTAAACCCAGCTAGGCAATCCTGTCCTGGGCATCCTGTTCTATTGCTGACCCTGCTTTGAACAAGGTGTCTGGGCTAAATGAACTCCAAAGGACTTTGCCAACCTCATTGGGTTCTGCAGTTGTGTTGCCATTTACAATGACAACAATACTTAAAAAAATTTCAAACCCAGGACTTCAGACTGCAGCCATATAATATTTAAAGCCCTTTTCTCCACCAGGGAAGTAGATTTTCATAGTGTAGTGGATATTCACAGTTAAAACTTGAAGAAGTGCAAGGGGGAAAAGAGAAAGGATGATACTCCCAGATAAAGAATTACACATTTACCTTTACAAGAGAAATGAAGAATTTGGACCACAGCTGCTATAAGACAAGAAGATTAATCTATTCCTTTTCTTTCCCAGCCCCAAATGAAACAGTAAGACAATTTTGGACAGCCTGGGGCACTTGAT